CCAAAAGGTAGTGTTATTTTACTGCGGACCTCTGTAATGTGGTGGCTGCTCCACAGACGGGTGCTTCAATTCGAGCAGAAAATCTACTGTACCCTGCCTCTCTTAAATTAGCGAAATTGCCATGTAGATTAAAGGGAGAAAATTGTAGACGTGTTTTGCAGTATCTGTAAAGTTACAAATTCTTATCCTGAATTCGACCTTACTAATAACATACAACAATTACAAAACTCATATTAATAAATTACTGTAAATTTTTTAATTATTATTCTCCTACTTACTTTGATATTTTGATTTGAAACTTTAAATGCCTTCACGTGAAATTTTGGTTAATTCAATAAATCAAATTAATTATAAATTATTTATGTCAACCCTAACTGCTTTCCTTGGGCAAACATCAACGGCGGGGCGGCGAAAAAGTCCTTTTAAAAATGTGGTGGCACGTACGGATGGAGGCAGCCATTACGGAAAGTGCCCATTGTTAGTCTAAAGATTTAGATGGGAAACAGAGAAAAAGATTTTTGACGATATCCTAAATTAAAGCGATTTTTCTAAATGTTATTTCATGTTTACACAAGGGAAGGAAGAACTTCTTTTTGTGCATGTTTATTATTAGCACTGAGGTTAGAATCTTTTTTCGGTTTCAGCGAAAACATCTTGATCTTTAGGTAAGATTGATGTAACTTTTTAACGCGGTTGTGTAAATCAAAATAATTTTTTTGTTTCCTAATGAGCCTATCCCCAAAGTAAGCACTGTCAGGCTTGTGTTGTAGGACTAGAGTAGCGGATAGAATACATATACTGATAAATAAATAAGTAGCTATATTTCTCTTTATATACACATAAAAGTCCATGATTAAGGTACGAATGCTCGTATTCATCATACAAACATTTGCCCCACCGGGATTCGAACCCTGGATCTCTGAGTAGGTGACGCCTTGGAACCCGGCGTACATACCACTCACACCACATAGTCTGTCCATTTAATGAAGATTACTTCGCCTAGGGCTGCAGAAAAGTAAATATCTGACTTCAAAATATCGACGACAGAAAGTGGAAGTGCTGTATCTCCAAAATTGACAAAAATGAGTTTTAAATGCAATTTTGATATACAAAAAAAGACAAATCGACTGTTCTGTCTATCGAGTTTTTATAAATTATACTTTAAATTGCTGTAAACAATTAAAATCGATTCTATTTGAAAATAACAGATACAGCACTAGCTCAAATAAAAATAACAGTTACACCGTTGTTTTTCACGTTTTTAATATCAATTAAAGGGAGACACAGCAATTTTGCCTCAAAAAAATTTGTGGGCGAAGGAGATTGCGTACGTTAATAAATTTTCATAATATAATTTACTAACTATAAAGATAGTTACACCATTATAATGTAGGTTTGTTTCTTAAACAAAAACCTAATACGCCTTTCTAGCCACCCACTCGCTTAGCTTGTTTTTTTGATAGAATATTACGACCGCAGTCAGTTGATGAGCGAACGTTAAACTGAGAAAGCGTATGCGTTGTTACAGAATATTTTTTGCTGTGTACATACATAATTAAGAAAAATTGTTATTTTTTAATTTTTGTAGAAGATTTAATATTAAACAAAGTGATTAAAAGAATTATCTATTATTATTGAGACAAACTCCGAAAAATATATACGATAATCGGACAATATAAGCACCTACCGTTTATTGAAGTTATACATCTTTAGGCGCGTTATAAAAAAAATATGACAGTGAGATTTTAAGATACGCGCGCATCATTGTAACACAAAAGTAACACCATGAAGTTGGCCGCTAAACAGCACATCCTCGCACAACAAGTCTCGAAAAAAAGCTACCAACCAAATAGAAATAAAGTCTCTATTAGTCACGCATGTTGACAAGCTCGTCGCCTCTGATCACTGTTTTTATATTTATAATATTTATCCATATGTTTCTAGTTTCTATATTAACAACAAGTGTTTTACACTTGTATGAAAGTGCGAATTATATAAGTGCTAATACATTATATTCAGTACTGATTTAAATTGAATATTTTGTTTATTTATTTAATTATTCAAATTAAAACTGAACTTTATTGACTATGTTGACTATACTTTTCCAGTCCTTTTATTATTTTATTTTAATAAATTATTTGCATGCAATTAAAAACTGATCTTTAAAGATGCCAAAGAAGTATAACTTCTCACGCGCGTACATAAGTACACGCACCCATTTTTTTATTTGTTTTAGCAAAGATTAATGTCACCTAAGGTCCTATAATCATGATTAAATTTTCGGAGTTGACCTTCTCCCTTTTTTACAGACCGTGAACAATACCTGTTTCCATACTTAATCAAACCAACTCCAACTAGGAAATTGCTTCGCTTGTCAAGAAGATTGCAAATCCAAGGACGATATAAACCGCAGGTTGGTGGAAACAGTCCACAAAGTGCGGTCCAATTTCTGTAAGCCCCACAGAACTTAAAGTTATAAGAGGTTCTCTGTCTGACCACATCCTCGGACTCATGAGATGCGAATGCTGCAACATACACCGGAAAATTAATAGGCATTTGTCTAACTTGCAGTCACGCGACGTTAGATTCTTTAACATCGAGAGGTTTTTAAAAAACAACAAAGACACAAAAGTGTTCGCGAGAAATCTGTCTATCAGACTGCGTCAGCTGACGAGGCTGAAGTCCAAAAATGCTAGGTTCGTCTTCTTGAAGCCTGAGATTTTGAGAGAAATCGAGAGCTTCTTTGGACAGTTATAAAAATCAACACAAAACCTGTTGATAATTTGGCTAAAGAACCCAGAGCTAAATAAACTCGATACTACACCGAAGATACCCCGGATGTCAGCTTATACGAGATTAGTATGGCTGTCAAACAACCGAAACACAACAAGGCGCCAGGACATGATTCAGTGATGTATCAGCAATAGTTTAATTATATTATTCACGCCAGAGACATGGCACAGGAGCTTTTTTCCAAAAAGGCGATGATACCCTATTATAGAACTTAAGCCCGTCTGTCTGCTGAGCCGCGTCTACAAGTTGTTTTAGAGGTTCATTACGCACGATGCGATGCTCTTTAATAGGTTAGGCGATTTCCAGCTACCCGAACAAAACGGATTCCGCAAAGATTTCAGCACCATGGACCACATCCACAGCTATGGCAGTTTATAGAAAAGACCAAAGAATATAATCTGCCACTATGTTTGTGAACTATGACAAAGCCTTAGCAATTCGGTGGAGATATGGGCGACATGGGCTGTGATAAGATCAGTCCAGAAGTGTCATATCGACTTTCGCTACATCCATGTGCTGAAGAGCCATCATGACAATCCGTATATAAGACCAGACAAGAGATAAGTGCGACAGGAAGATGTAATCTCCCCGACGCTGTTTACGGCTGCGTTGGAAGACGTATTTAAGCTTCTGCATTGAAGCGGACTTGGCATCAACATAAACAGCGAATACATTACTCACCTTCGATTTGCCGATGACATACATAGTAATTATAGTTATAGCAGACACTTTGTAGATCCCAATACAATGCTCAACGACCTCAGTAGGGCCTATCAATAAAATAGGTGGGCCTTAAAATAAACATAAGTAAGTCGAAAACCATGTCTAATACTCATGATCCAGTTCAAACGATAGTAATCGTTGCGAACTTTAAAAATATATACACATATATCTGGGACTACTGTAGTCCGCTTGGGTAGGTGCGATTTTGAGAAAGGGGTAAATCGCAGAATCTGTCTCGACAGGGCAGCTATGGGGAAACTTCGCGATGTCTTCTCGACTGAAACACCACAGTGCTTGAAAACCAAGATCTTCGAACAGTGCGTGATGAGTGATGACATATGGAGCTGAGACGTGGTTGTTGACAATGGGCCTCATAAGAAGGCTCAAAATCACACCGCGCCTATTTTGACCGTGATAGCCGCTTATTAAGTTTCACGATCGCAGATTGAACAAGCTAACCACTTGCACCATCAAGTTCCTGCGTAGGTACAATTAAAATAAAGGTCAATATCTATTTTTGTAGGTACTCACTCAGTCTTATGATTTGAGTTTTTTCAATCACGTAATCTGTAAACACCTTGAATGTGATTTAATGGAGTGTAGCGAAAAGATAGGGTGCTGATGATAGTGTGAGAAAAAAGAAACTGCTTCGATATTTTTGTAACACTTTATTGAAATTTTATAGTTTTTTTTTACTTTAGATTTTACTGATATGAATAATTTAAGGTATTGTTGTACTATGCCTCATGTCAACAATTTAATTATTTATTTTTACTTCTTAGATCTGACGGATTTCAGTAACCGTAATTCCTTTTTTTCATTCGATGTAGGGTAAAAGCCGGAAAGCCTCTCCACTTTTCAATAAAGCTCTATTATTCAAAAATATGAAGCGACTGGTAGTGATACAAAATGTAAATCATTACACAGGTCCTTGATCTTTCAGAGAAGCCTATTTTTGTGAGTCTAATTAATATTGTTATGAGTAAATCCGGTTTCATTAGACCTCTCAAATAGGGATAGCTGTCTGCTCGCGCGGATAGTAACCTAACGTTAAAATTTGCCTCTTGTGGGGATAGAGAACTCACTATGTGTTTTCAAGATACAAACATATTTATATCAATTTATGCAAGCTGTTTTCGATATTGATTTTTCGTATCTGACTCGCACTAAACTTTATTTTGTGGTAGGCATCTTTTCTTTACAACATTATTCCACAACTTATATAAGCAAATCATAATATTCTGTGGCATGTTTCTTCTTATACTTTTATACAAAGAAAATTTGCAAGGTATTGTAGAATAGGAGTTCAATATTTTTTTAGTCACAACGTGTAATAAATCATGAAAATTAGTATTTTATCAATAAATAAATTAAAGTTGCTCATAGAGCCACTATGTACAAAAATAAATTGGCCAACTGTCTTTTTAAAAACTTCCTCTTTATTTTTACAAAAAAAATCTATTCAACAGAAAACGTTAGAAATTGTGTTATTTAAACTCCTCCAAAGCAACTAAAAGTTTTCTGAATCTCTAATCAGTGAAAAAAACATTGGAAAGAATACACTCCCTTATATAATTTTGACGTTAGTCAACATTTTGCAGAGGCAGTTATTTGTTTACACGGAAAAGACGCGTGTACCTAATTGTACAATTTACATGACATTAAAGCTTTCGGGGAAAATATGTCATAGAAGAGCACTAACGCTAACAACATCCCTTACATAGTATATTCAAAACCGGGGCAAGTATCCAACTACGCCGACTATTCGGCTTTGACCCTAAGTCTGTACTTTCACAATAAATAAATAAGAAAACTAAAGAACCAGTAATAAAATTAAAAACAGATTTTACTAAGAGTTAATTAAAGTTGCGCAATAATTTAGAAGTGTTGCTTAAAAGTGTCCTAAAAGTGTCAGTTTGTAGTGACATACAAGTACGCCGTGGGATTTGCTGATGCCTGATCGGCAGGTATATTGGCCATATTGTATATCACTTTCTCGTAAAAGTTAATTCCATCCAAGAATGTGTTTATGCCGAGGTTCTCGTTGACGCCGTGCAACAGGTTTGGCGTGTTCATCTGAGGCGACAGACCGAAGGCCGGCACTCCAGCTAGCCGCACATGCCGAGCGTCTGTGGACCCTGGCGGCACCGCGGCGAGGACTGGTATGCCCCTGAAATTGCAAATCCGCTTGTATTTTTGTATTGTAACATAATGGTCACGCTCTAATTTATAGTTACGCCTATTTTGACCGTGATAGCCGCTTATTAAGTTTCCCGTTACATTTTTGTCTAACTTGTTTACGTGGCATGTATGATTAATATAAAAAAATATATATTTGATTTTTTGTTTAGTTTGTCAAAACACTCATTTGGTCACCCATTCTAACACAGGTCATTGCGAAACTTGCTTAACTTACACGATCGCATGCCGAATACGCTAAACAATTCGCTATCGAGCTCCTCAGAAGTCAGAAATATAATACCACCCAAAAGTTATTGCAATTTTTCTAGGCACTTCTGGAAGGTGGAAATTTTTGAAGTGAAACTTCTTTACGCACACTTGACCTGGGGGGGTAATTACGTTACGTTTTACGAAAAGTGTGTTTGGGCGATGCAAACGGGAGTTGAGTGGGGGATTTATGTACGAGAAAGCAGTGCCCCCGCACATTTTCTTTCTTTCAGTCTCTTATGAAATATGTATATGTACATATATATATATATATATATATATGTGTGTGTGTGTGTGTATATATATATATACATACAGATGGAGCTAAAGAAGTTTCATTTTAGTCGAGTGGTCATAAGCACACTGGTCATTTTCCCCCGTCCGGCGCCACATTTCACATGGGAAATTCTCTATGCCTTACCGCTCGTCCTAGCCCAGTAGATGTAGAGTAAAATTTTCAAGGTTAAAAGAGCTGGAAATTCAGTACTCTTCACGTGCTGCATACACGTGAGTAATCCTTTTCGTATATACAGCGGTGGTCATATAATTAGAAACACTTCTTAGAATAAAGAAAGTATAACTTCAACGTAAAAATGTTTGTAAAAAAATAGACACATTCAATAAGTAATAATCATGCAATAATACAGCCACTCAAATAAAAACTCATTAAATGCATAAGTTACGTTTTACGAAGTGTGTTTGGGCGAGGCAAACGGGAGTTGAGTGGGGGAAGTGCGCCGCACATTTTCTTTCTTTCAGTCTCTTATAGCTAGTAAATGAAATATGTATATGTACATATATATATACAGCCACTCAAATAAAAAACTCATAAAATGCATAAAATATAAAATATATGTGTATATTACTTTTAAGGAGTTTATTTTCTTACTGGCCGCTTAGACGTCTAATTAGAAACATTTTAAAAAAGCATCCATAGATCGTTCTTTTTTTGAAATTGGAGAATAATATTTCTTTCCAGACCTTCTCTATTATTTTTGCGGCAATACAAAATTTTATCTGAATTTGGTCTAACGATATGAGTTTACAATTACAAAAGCTTAAAACTACCTTATGTCTAAAAACGTAAAAACCAGAAATAACTAAGAACTTAAATAATATACAATTTACAAAATAAAAAATATATCACCCCCAGCGCCGCTGTCAGGAATTTCCACGTTGGATAGCGAGGCTAATCCTTGGCCGAGGTAGCTGCCAGCCTTTTGATCACCGGTCACCTCGGTGAGTCTCTTAGACAATTCCTTAAAGAAGGAACGAGCGCTTGGACCCCATGGCCCCATAGTCTCCACACCAAACGGCACAAATATGTAGCTCTCATTGAGAGCTGAATATTTGCGCCGCTTGGAGCACTCGGCGGAGGCTGCCGCCGCGCCTGCAGCCAGGGAGGTACTATTTGTATGGCACGGAGCAAGCGTATCCACGCAAGTTGCGTCCCACACAAGAGGACGACCCTGCTTCCAGCGTCATTCCGTCAGGTCTCTTGAATTTGAATTTTATTTTGCTCTAAATGGGCAAAAATAAAAGTTATGACGCGTCAACTAGGCAAAGAAAAATTTACATTTAGATCATAAGTAGGCGTACAGAATAATAGCTGAGTATGTAAATTGTTCTGTTAAGAAAGTTTTAGTTGTTAGTTATAGAACACACGGAACTGTTGAAAATGTTCTTAGAAAGACTCGGCCATGAAAAACCTCTCCCAAAGAAGATACGCTAATCGTTAGTGTTGCTAAAAAGACCTAAGTAAAGGCTCCAGCCAGATTAAAAATGAAGTTTTTTCGCCTGATGACCCGAGAAACATTTCATCAAGAGTGATACGCGAAAGGTTAGTGGAAGCTAAATTGTTTGAAAGAATCGCTCGACAGATACCGCTTCATACCGAGCGACACCGAAAGAAGCGATTATTATTCCCTAAAAAATATTTAATTGGACGATACGAGAATGAAAAATAAAAGTATTATTTTCAGATAAAACAAAAATTAATATTGTAAATTCCGATGGAAAGCGAAGTTAGACGTCCTGTAAACAATGTTACAAATAAAACACAAGGATTATAGTCAAGCACGGTGGCGGTAACATTTAAGTTTGCGGGTGTTTTTCCGAATGTGGAGTTGGACCCGTTCGGAAGATTGAAGGTACAATGGATCAATAGCAATACATAAATATCTTAGAGCACACAATGATTCCCTACTCGGACGATCATTTGCCTGTAACCTGGATCTTTTAGGTGACAATGACCCTAAAAACACGGCCAATAGCGTCAAATGTTTCCTTAGCGAATAGTGTATATCCGTTTTAGACTTACCAGCAAATAGTCCGGATTTAAATTCGTTAGAAAATCTCTGAAATATTGTTAAAAAGGAAGTCTCCAACAAACGTAACACCACTCAGAAAGAACGATATGAAGCATGGAATTGAATTCCCCTAGAAAAATGTATGAAATTGATTGAATCATTACCACGTCGTTGCAGTGCTGTTATTGGAAATAACATAATATTAATTGTAACTAGTTGGCTGTATATAGTAGATATTTCGTAAATAACCATATTAATTACAACTACTTATAAAAATATTGTATTATTTTAAGTATTTGTATTTTTTATTTATACTTTTTTGGTATTGTTTCTTATTAGTTGACCATTATTGTCCACAAAACTGATATAAATGTTTGTCCGTAATGTAATATTGAAACTGCACGTGTGAAATGGGATTAATATTGTTTTTCTAATAAATGATAAATCGTTGAACATATTGTTGTCCTATTTATTGTTTAATTTCAAAAAAAAAACGATTGCGGCGAACTATCTTACATAATGTCAAGGACCGTTGGTAGTGTTTCTAATTATACCTCCACAAATATATAATATAGCGGTTACCACGGCCTGCGGACGCCTGCACCAGTACGTTTAGTACGAATTTGAAGTTACGAACACTGTAATAGTTTTCGTGAGGTTATGCGCAGTACACGATGGACGATATTCTTGAAAAAAAACATAACTTGTACTACCATTGATAACGTAAACATCGTAGCTTCTGCGCAGGAGTATCACACACACGTTGCCGACCGACCCTATAAAAATTTCTTCACGCCTCTGAAAGAAAAACATGCTGCTCTCCTTTGGGAAATTCTCTACAGGGACTCATTCTACAGCTTAATTATACGAGGGAGATTTCTCTGAAAACGTGTAGTGATCAAGCTTTATAGCGACCTAACCCACTACAGGGAATTCTACGAATACCTAAAAATGCCTGGTGGAGCTCGATGGCGCAGGGGGTTAGCGCATTCGGCCTGCGATCATTAAAGTTAAGCAACTTTCACAATGGTCGGTCATTAGACGGGTGACCAAAACTCATTATCTCGAGATCTTTCGTGCTTCGAGAGGCACAATAAGCCATTCATTAGTCCTGGCTGCATCTGCAGTAACTAACACCCACCAATCATTTATTTATTTATTGATTTACCAACATTTTAGTATATTATTTGAAATCAAAAGTCTTATATCTAAGTTTTATACTAAATGCATCATACAATTCTACGTAAATACCACTTGCAATTAATACAAAGATAAAAAATAATAAAAATAAATTAATACAATTTTATGAATGACATTGCTTTTAAAATAATAATCAATAATAATTAATAAAAGTAATACTAAATAAATATTCAACATTAATCATGATAATAACAGTTATTATTTAATACTACAAAATTTCGAATACCGTGTAGATGTATACTAAATGCAGCAAACAAATATAGGTAAATACCACTTGCAATAAATACAAAGATACAAAACCCACCTGGTTATATTCGTCTTGCGTGAAAACTTAATTTAAAATCACTAAGAACTATTTGCGTCATATTATTCATTGAAAACCAGGGCGATAGGCTATTGATATCATCTTGTAACTTAATACAATCTTGAGTAGATTCTATTACAATACCAAATTTCAAATCGTCAGCATACATATAAGGTACTGAATAATTAGGGGTTCCGCTGGAAAATAGTTATTAAATATACACATTCAGGTCATAAGTATTGTCACACAGTAAAAACTTTTCTTTTAGAATGCTGGCCACAAAAAAGTTTATTGAATTCGAATTTCGAATTGTTCATGAAAATAAAAATGCATACTTTTTAGAATTTTACTTATTTGTAAATATGGAGTGGACGCTGAAGGCTAAGGACTCACGAAGCCCGTGCCCGCCGCGGTGGCGGAATGTAGTTTTATTTTCAAAACCCACGAGACCTGAGTTTTGTGCGGCTACGCAGCCGTCGCGGTTGCGATTATTGTTCGCAAACTTGGCGGTTGATAATCGCAAGACGGGCGGTTGCAAGACGGGCGGTTAAACGATCAGTTGAGTTCCAGACCGTCATGGACACACACCAGAAACGAGCTGTTGCGTTATACTTCCTTCACAGAAGAATTAAAAAAAGAAGGCCTAAAAGGTTCTGGATACATCCAATGATTGCGGAAAGAGATCATTATGGATTATTTGTTACCCTTATTAATGAGTTATAGGAGGATGAAGAAAAGTTCTTTAATTATTTTCGAATGTGTGTATGTAGTTATTTAGAACTTTTAAGAAAAACAGAGACTGCTCTTCAAAAACAATATATGTACTAATATGCGAGATCCCATATCACCAGAGGAAATGTTGCCAGTGACATTAAGGTATGTAAGTTTCTTTTAATAACTCGCACGCACGTACGAACATAGACTCTCATTCACACACATACACATAGGGGGCACCCCAGTTTTTGCGTCAGGTGTCAATGAAACAAGTGGTAATATTGAAAATGTTTCTTTATTGAAAATACACATCATCTGACAAATTAATATTGACTGAAGAAACTGATGGAATATTTTGTGGACTTTGGGTAGTATTGCTGTCAGAAGTAGAATAGGTACTATAATTATATGGTGAATATTGATAAGATGGCAATGCTGCAAGATTATTATCAAGATTATCAATAATTTGTAGAACTGCTATTTGACATCGTCTTGTTAATGGCCGTAGTTGATGCGGATTACTGCTTTGTTTTTGTAGACATTGGAGCCCCAGGAAGTAATGCTGATTCAACCATTTTTAAAAATACTACTCTTTGCAATGCGCTTAATAGCAATTCTATCAAACTACGTAATGAAAAAATACTACCCGGATCTACTTTGCGACCTGTCCCATATGTATTCGTAGCCGATGAGGCGTTTGGGTTGCATCAAAATATTATGAGACCTTATGGTGGTTAATTTTTGAGTTTTAAAAAAAGGGTATTTATTAATCGCCTATCTAGAGCACGAAGATACGTAGAATGTGCATTTGGCATTTCGTCAAATAAATGGCAAATTTTAAATCGTGCATTGGATGTATCAATTAATATTGTGAAGGCATGTTGCATACTTTACAATTTTGTACGAAAACGAGACGGCCCTCATATTAGATAGAAGAAGATTTTACTCATAATCTTGAGAGTATACAAATACCTCCATCAATACGCAGTGGAAGACAAGCCAATAAATAACATTAGAGATGTTTTTCAACAATATTTTATGAGTGACAGCGGAGCCTGAAGCTGGCAATTGTCACAAATTTAATAAAGTTAATTATTGTACCTTAAAAATAAACTTATATAATAATTACCATATTTTTTTTATTTGTCTCGTCCAAATTTTCAAAATCATTATTTAAAATACCGCAGATGAGTGCCATGCTTTGAGTGTCAAGTTCTTGTACTTATACTCTTCTAAGCTCTTATCCCATACAACTGGCCTTTCTTGAACTAACGTAATTAATACATCGACATCAACGCGTCACTACGCAACGAGTTAACGAGTCACTGCAAAATGGCGTCGGATTTCTAACGTCCCCCCCCCCGTTCCCCGCTGTCCACGCGCGGTTGCCCGCCAACCGATCGCAACACGCGCGGGTGCAACCCGCCGCGGCTACGGGACCGCGACCCGCGCCTGCCGGTACAAGATGACCGCCGATGCAGCGGGACCCGTAAACAATCGCACACGCCGCGGGCGTAAAACGCGTCGTGAAATGTGCTTTAATGTTTTACATACATATCTGTATTCTACAAAGGCTGCGGGCCCGCAACCGCGGCGGGCACGGGTGAAAACCGCTTCGTGAGTCCTTAGTCTAAAGAAGACCGTGTTGCAGTTATTGCGATGCATCGTTGCGGTTACGCGCCAATTCAAATTTTTGACATACTGAAAATTTTGAATATAACCAAAAGATTTGTTTATCGTACCATCAAACGATACAATGAAGACTAGTGTAGATGACAGGTCAAGAAGTGGTCGCCCTCGGTCTGTTAGGACTCCAGCAGTGATAAAAGCTGTGAAGGAGCGAATTCAAAGAAATCCCTAACGTAAGCAGAAACTGTTGGTCCTTCAGATGGGGTTAAGCAGAACCACGGTGAAAAGGGTGTTAAATGAAGACTTAGGGCTTCGGGCATATCGAAGAAAAACAGGACATCGTTTGAATGCTCGTCTAATGGACCTGAGACTGAAGAGATGCCGCGCTTTGTTGAAGCGGTACGCGGGAAAAAAAATATCTGGAAATTCTTTTTTCGGATGAAAAAAATTTTACCGAAGAAGAGAGCTACAACAAACAAAATGATAAGGTGTACGCACACAGTAGTGAAGAAGCGAGCAACCGTATTCCGCGTGTCCAAAGAGGTCATTTTCCATCCTCGCTCATGGTATGGTTGGGAGATTCTTATTGGGGCTTAACAGAGGTACATTTTTGTGAGAAAGGTGTAAAAACGAATGCAGTTCTGTATCAAAATACAGTCCTGACGAACCTTGTGGAACCTGTTTCTCATACCATATTCAATAACAGGCACTGGGTATTCCAACAAGATTCGGCGCCAGCTCATAGAGCGAAGAGCACACAAGACTAGCAGGCGGCGCGTGAAATCGACTTCATCCGGCACGAAGACTGGCCCTCCTCCAGTCCAGATTTGAGTCCATTAGATCACAATATATAGCAACACTTGGAGGAAAAGGCGTGCTCAAAGCCTCATCCCAATTTAGAGTCACTCAAGAGATCCTTGATTAAGGCAGCCACCGATATTGACATGGACCTCGTTCGTGCTGTGATAGACACTGGCCGCGCAGATTGAAGGACCGTATTCAAAATCATGGAGGTCATTTTAAACAAACTTTATTGTCATAAGAATCTATGTTTTGTTAAGTTCATTTTGGTATATAAATGGTTACATAATGAATAAAGTTTCAATTATTTTATATTAAACATGTGACAGAATTTATGACCTGACTAGGTATATTAAATAGAATCGGACTCATATATGATCCTTGTGGTACACCAGTTTTCCTTTCCCGTTATTATGATTGATACCCATTGATTACCACAAAAAAATCTATCACTTAAATATGACTCTAACCAACTTAATGACACAGCAGTAAAACCACAAGCAGACAATTTTCGCAGTGGCACCTTATGAGGAACGCGATCAAAGGCCTTGCTGGAGTTTGTATAAATAACATCAAATTGTTTGCTAGTATGCATCACAGAGGCCACATTTTCAATGAAAGTAGCCAGATTTTTGCTCGTAGATCGCGAACCAACAAAGTCATGCTGACTCAAGGACAGATATTGTTTAAAGTGATTCTGAATCAAGGGGCAAATAAGTGACTCAAATATTTTTGCTAAGATTGACAGAACTTATACAGGTCTGTAGTTTTATATTTGGTGTTCAGATTCCGATTTTTTGAACAGGTACCACTTTGGCAGTCTTTTACGCTTGAGGGAACCCCCCGTGCGTAAACATAAGTTATACATTATCGAAAGCGGTTTTACCAAGTGCTCAGCAAATTCCTACACAAAGATTGGTGGAATCCCATCTGGTCCAGCACCCTTTGAAGCATCAGTACTCCTTAAAATTTTTCAGTAACAGTTTCTCATCTATATCCGATAGTATAAATGATTGTTTTTTTTTGTTTTATGTTTGATGTGTATTTATTGTACTTAATTGTTAATGTAGGTCGTCAATAAATGTTTTTCTTTCTTACTAAGTTGTGGTTAATTTGATAAATATTATAGTTCACTTAGAAATTATTCAAAAATTTCACAATTATATTCACGTTTTAACACTGTATTTAAAACTTTTGTTTTGACAATAATACAAGAATTCGAACGTTTTTGCAAATCGAATCCAGTGATGTAACTTTCAACAATCCATAGGAAAAGTCTGTGCTCCTGTAGTGGCGACATTAATAGGTTAATGATGATGACCTAGATCAGAAAGAAAGTAGAAAATAACTTACATATCTTTGGCTGCTTCTGTGATAGCTTTCCAGTATGGATTAGTGGAGTTAGCCATCGTGGCTGGGCTCTGAGGATTCCTTGAAATGTACGTGATTGTGATATTGTCTCCCGCAGAATAAATAAGATTCTCCAGCTGCAAGAAACAAACATTAAGTATTATTTTATTTTCAAACAGTACACCTACACATAATGCATTTATTTTATGAAATATATGTAGTATTTATGTTGCTATCCACAGGGACTAATATTCAACTGGATTCATCTGTTCAACAAAAAGTTGCAAGTCGCAGTTCTAGTAAGTAGGTATATAGGATATAATTTTACGCGAAACCTAATGTTTGCTATTTAAATTTAGTTGTTTTTTTACTCCTTGTAGTTAAAAATATTTAAAAATGAAATGCAGTCAAATTAAATAGTTCATAGAGAAATCCGTTATAACTGTGAATATTTGCTTTTATAGTTTTTTTAATCACAGACGGTTAATCAGACAGCACTGAACCGTTATGAAATACGTAGATATCCCTTATCAGTTAAACAATCAAATGCATGTTTTGTTAAGTCGTATCTGCTGTATCAGATGATCCGTGACAATTAGATAAATATGAGAAGAATACAAAGATACATTATCTTTAAGTGTTGTGAATACAAACCTTCTGCTGTAAGTCACTTTCTTTGACTCCGGTATTCGGTCGGATATCAAACGTCAGGCTAACCACATTGGGCACTACATTGTTCGCGGTTCCACCCTAAAAAAAGATGACAAAATGTAATTGAGCTACTTGAAGTGATAGGAAAAACAACATCATTCTTCAGAAGGCTGTTAACATATTTCCTTCTAGTAATTTTACTGTCACTTACGGCTACAGTCAGAGATAGTTACTCACTGGGGAAGCATAACATTTTATGGAAGTTGTGAGTGTAGCAGTTAGTATTTGTATATAATTTAACGAATTTAAGCAAAGTGTGCTCTAGTTTATATATATATATATATTATTTGGATTTGGTTGAATGGAGTCGCCAAAAACTTACAGATAATCTGTTAAGGTTAACCGATGTATACACGCCGGAATCGGTGATCGGCGCTTTAGTGTAGATCGAGTATTGTTCGTCTCGCCATTGAAGCATATTTGTCGCTACATTGTGGCACTGTAATAAAATCATCTTTTAAGCTGCATATTTATGTAAATAAGACAATAAGTAAAAAAAACCATGTCCATAATGTAGTGTCATATCAACTCGAAAACGGATCGTCACCATAATAATATCAACTAGAGCCGTTCAGTAGGAATGCTTTGTACGAAACTACCTACTGCAATGCACATAACTCTCCATACCTGAGCTTGCGTCTCTCCATAGCCTAACTTACGTCTTTCCGTGGGCTAGCTTACGTCTCTCTCTAGTAACGCTCTGTACTTTCTCTATGACTGACTGATCGAACTTATGCTGCCTAGCCATCAACCAGTGGCAATAAGAAAAACTTGTAAATATATTTTTTACGTATATGTCCTAGGTATGTCATTTTTTTTGTGGGCGGAATGCCTTGCGTCCGGCACGAAGGCCCTCTTGCGGAGACCACAGAAATTCATCGCGGCCCGAGCCGTGCGGGCTTACCGCACGGCCAGCCTGGGGCTGACTGCGTCCTCGCAGGTACGCTCCCGTGGGAGATCGATGCCCTGGTTCTGTCCCAGGTGCATCGATACAGGGCCGCGGCGAGAGAGCGGGACGAGCGGCCCGTTCGGGTGCAGAGGGAGGCTCTGCGCCGATGGGGCGAGACACTCGCCAACCCAGCCGCTGGCCACCGGACGATCGAGGCGATTCGTCCGGTGTTGGAGGTGTGGGTAGGGCGCCAGCGGGGCAGCCTCACCTACCGCGTGGTGCAGGTAGTGACCGGACATGGGTGTTTCGGCTACTACCTGCACCGAGTCGCCCGTCGGGAGGAGTCGACGCGGTGTCATCACTAAGACTCACCCGACGACATGGCCGAGCACACGTTGATCGAGTGCCCGGCCTAGCGAAACGAGCACCGCACGTTGGTGGCGGCGCTCGGCGGTGGAGCCCTCTTATTGCCAAGTATGGTCATGCTTGGCAATGAGAGGGCCTGGAAGGCTGCCGCCTCCTTCTGCGAATCGGTGATGGGGCAGAAGGAGGCCGCGGAGAGGGAGCGGGAGGAGGACGCTCTAGCCGCTCCCCTCCGACGTAGAGGGGTGGGCCGAAGAAGGCAGGCAGCCGTGACTGGCGGTCTTCGTCGGTCCTAAGGTGGTCTGGGTGCGGCTTGGCCGCCGCGTACCCTAGGTGCCATTCGGCATAGGCCACTCCGTCTGGGGAGTGCCTAGTACCCTAGCGCAATCCCCCAGAGGCGTGTCGCCCGGTCCACTCGTTGGGCCGGGACGGCCCGGGGGCGCCCGGTGAAATGGCGCACACAGGCGCCGAACCCGAGACGCCCCCCTCAAGGACGTAGGAGGGTACCGATGGTTTTTAGTGTGTAGGACCGGTGCTGTTCCGCGCCGGGGAGCCCCACACACGTCGCGCGTCTAGCCAGCGCGCGGTATGGTCCGTAAATGGATTTTCCACCGTTAACAAAAAAAAAGGATGTCATCATTTTTGCAGAAAATGTGAAAATCTCAAAAATGTCAATTACTGCAAGTACAGGAAGTTTTCCAATTACAGAATGTAATGCGACTCAGTGGCGCACAATGCCGAATTATGCTGATGCTTAATTGAAACGTGAATTGTTTTCAAATGCACCAGCAGAGTGCACCAAGTCAATGTTTGTACCTTCATCCATACTTATATATATTTTTTTTACCACAGTTTTTTACTTTGATTATTTGAAAAACTACAATGAAACGAAAACTTTAAAAATTGTTTCAACAAGAAATAATATTACTAAAGATAATATATAAATAAAACATTTCAATCAATGCCAACTTAAAGAAAAAACACTTGTTAATTTTCTGTCACTGAGTTGGTAGATTGCACGCATCACACGAAAACATTACTTCTGAGAGTGCTCGATTGTGCTAAGCGTTGCTGTAGTTGAAACATTCAACGTTAAGCATCATGGCACATAGTGCTGTAGTTGGAAAACTACCAGAATTAGCTGAGCTAATATCATGGCGATTATTACTAAATTCATGACTAATTACATATTGTTTTAAGAAATAAAATAATCATATTCAGGATTCCTTTAACTAACTTGATTATTGTAAGTAAATAAATTACCTTAATCCTACCAAAGGAACCTACGTAAGTTTTTGAAAGGGCATATGGACATACATATTGTTATAGTGAGTGTGTGTTTATGTCTCTATTTTTGATAAAGAAAGACATCTTACTTTTCCAACTGCTGTAGAATTTGTGAGCGGAAAAGAAGACCCATGTCCTGCGGTTCCGTGACAGTCCACTCTTAATTCTGTAAAAAAATGATAATATTCTTCAGTTTGTTTCTATGCATTACCACTTGCAACACTTTGACAGTTCTGTAATATACATTATACCATTATCATTATTGTTCAGGACATTTTTTAAAATATTTGAAAGTGCTATTAATTGGTGATATTGACATTTAATGGTAACGTCTATTGGTTTATAAGACCTTTCTTTATAAATATAATTAGATAACTCACGCCACACGACTTTATCTTGATAGAAAACGGGAAGCATCGGCGCATTCACGGGGCCACCTTCATCGAGCTCAATGCCAACATTCATGGCCTGAAACTCTTCGCTCTGTAAGAACTTTAACATTCCAGCTTCAGCACCTACTTCTTCATCTGAAATGAATACCTCCACTTGTTTTTATTCTATAACTATCTGAGAGACAACCGTGTATCTTAGCAGGTATACCTTAATATCGCGTGCGTCTTATTATAATAGTGTCCGTTTACAATCAAGCGTATCTATTACATACTTGGAACCTTTTTATATAAAGAAGTATGGAAAATATTGTTAGATAAAAGTAAGTATTAAATGTTTATGTAAAGATTAGAATAGATAATATAATTGGCTCGTTATTGTATTTTATTATATTACTAGTGGCCCGCCCTCGCTTCGCTTCGGTGTAGAGCTGTAGTGTAAACTATAGTTTTTGTTCTCAGGCTTGTGCTATAAAGAATGACTTTATTTATATAATTACACGTGTTATTGTGAGTCAACCATAAAAGATAGACATATGCTGTTGTGGGATATTTTTTAGACAATTTTATGTAGAATATTTCCGTTATACATGATTTCTATGTAACTTTAACCATTAAGGCTGCACACGCGACGGAAGCTTAAAAAATGGAGTAACTTCTCCCGTTTTCCCAACATTTCCCTTCACTACTCTGCTGCTATTGATTGTAGCGTGATGAAAAGTATACTATAACCTGCCCAGGAGTATGAAGAATAACTGTACCAAGTTTCGTTAAAATCCGTCGAGTAGTTTTTGTTTCTATAAGGAACATACACACAGACAGACAGACAGACAAAAATTTTACTGATTGCATTTTTGGCATCAGTATCGATCACTAATCACCCCCTGATAGTTATTTTGAAAATATATTTCATGTACAGAATTGACCTCTCTACAGATTTATTATAAGTATAGATTAATTTACGAGTATGCTAATATACTATTAGGGTTAATTAAAATTTGTTAAAATTAGGTAAAAGAGTTAAAACATACCGATTTCTTAAAACAAAAATTATTATTAAAACAAAGTTAAGCTATGAAAAACTAGTTTAGACGCTTCGACCTTGCTGTGTTCGAACTATCTGACACTGATTATTCTACCTACTTTTACTTTCATCATCAAAATTGTGTTTTCTGTCAATTCCCATTTATTAAAAATTATCAAATATTTATAACAGATCCGCATATTTAATATAGTTTTGTGTATTTTTTACGTTTAAGTTAATCTGAGTACAAAATTACCAATTACCTACGTACCAGGCATGAGTGTCATATAAACATTCCTTAAAAGAGATATGTTCTTCTCCTTCATTCTCCTCAAAGCTTCGTAATACTGAATCGATACTGACTTCATGTCCTGTGTACCGCGTCCGTAAACTTTGCCATCGGATATTTGGCCAGAAAATGGAGAAAAAGACCACCCATCCTGCAATCATAAATATGTACATACATATAAAGATTTTCATATGCAAATAATTTTATTATAATTTTGAAAATGGTTAGAAATTCAACAACTGTATAAGCAGCCGCAGGACTAAAAAAAATGTTCTTACTTAACCAATGATGTTAACGAAAAGTTAAATTTATAGAGCGCCATCAGGTTGTCGAATATTAAGGCAAGTACCTAGAGTACCTACCTGAATTTTGTTTACAGAAAATTGCATTTACATTTACATGAGCGGCCAAATATAAAAATATTTTTTTAATGTATTAAACGACACTGACTTGTTTCAGGCATGTGTCGTAGGATGATTTGATAAATCATTTTTTTGCGAAATATTAGGGATTAATTACACAAAGTTACTGAAGAAAGATTCTTGCGAAAATGCATACTGTACATCCCCTCAGTAAGATTGCGAAAAGATTCGTTGGTTTCCTATAAATATTCCTGGGTTTTCGGGTTCACACTAGGTTAGGTTAGTGTGACCATGAAGCGCGAGCCGACGCGACGGAGCGTAGCGAGCCTGCCGCGGCAAGGGCTGGCACAGAGCCGGAAAAAAAATACAGTAACGTCATCGCTATTGTCTAATAATTCGCGATTTCGCAAAATCCCTAGGATATTCGCGAAAATCCAATTTATTTAACCATTCGCATGAGGGCTTTTTCAGGAAGATTCGATTCGAACAGACATTATGACTTTGGCTATGTTTGTTCGGTCGGAGGTTTTATTTTATCTCGTCTCTTCATTATAAGAGCCGAGAGTTGGCTTAAAGTTGCAAATGTGTGTGTTGCAAGTGAATGTATAGGAACATAAAAAATACGTCTATTAAAAGAAAGAATAATATTATCAAAAGTGGAGAAAGAGTACACTTCGCTCCATACCTCTACAGCTGCAGGCACGACATCCATGTGCGAGTTGAGCATGATGCTGCTCAAGGTTGGGTCAGATCCAGGCCACTTTATCACCAAAACAGGCATGCCTTTTACATAAACATACTTCTTTAGTTTCAAGCCTTGTTCGGCCGCTAGGTTTTTCCAAAAACTTACAGCGGGTCCTGTAATTAAAATAAATTGTACGTATATACTTAGTTAAACAGTTAGCGCCATTAAGAGACAAATAGAGAATAACTGCTGGCATTTGTATTTTCAGACTGGAACTATAACAAAATAGGATATATCTGGATGAACCTTCAATAAGTAAACTATATATCTAAATTAATTTATATTATTGTTTTTAATTAATGGGCAATCCCTCCCTATTAAAAAGGAAGTAAGTTACTTATAAGGGATAGAAATAAAAACTGCCAAGATGCCGGAAAAAAGATGGTGCGGTCGAAGAGATAATACGTGCGCTCACTTGTAATGGCCGAAATGCAACAGAGGCAGAGTGGGGGGCCCAATATTAGCACCAATTACGCAGTAGCTCCTCGGCAGCGGATTACTTTATTAGCAAATGAACAAAATACGTATACGTATATAGTATATATGTATATTTTTCAATTACGATCAGTAGATTAGTGTTACAAATTAAAGTAAGTTTTCTTTTACATTAGTTTTGGTATTATAAAATATTAATCTAATATATCTATACAATTTTCGTGTCACAGTGTGCGTAATTGAACTACTCCGAAACGGCTCGACCGATTTTCGTGTTTATATGCATATTCAGTAAGTCTAAGAATCGGACAACATCTATTTTTCATCCCCCTAAATGAGAAGGGGAATTAATTGTTTTTTTTGGACAACATTTTTGTTTTTGTTTTTTTATGATTTCCACCATTCTACCACCAACCCCTATTTTTATGGCGGTACGAAGTTCACTGGGACAGCTAGTTTCTATATAATATAATGGTGCGTCCAACGATATTAAATACCGTCGCCTACGTTACCTACTAATAAATATAGATACCTACTGTGAATATCAATCAATACGACGTATGTTTATCTCTAAATAAAGAATGTATGCTTCGTATATTGATTAATTTCTTATTCTTCAAATCAAAATAAAGCTCAGTATCAAATGTCAATACGGCTTTAGCCGCATCAGGCATTGCCTATTTGGCAAAAAGGACAAATACGCCCCAGGTTTTCCGCAAGATTTCTCCTTCACTACATGTCGATTCTAAATTTTAAACGTGTAAAATGACTTGTGACCATAATTAGCTCTCAAAACTATTTTTTGCTAAGGACATCGGACAAAGATATTTAAAGTCAGTCACGTCACAATCACAACTCGGACTAGCTGTATCAGATTAAATAATAATCTCTGATGAAACTAGATACTCAAAGGATGAAACGGTTTAACCGTAGGTATTAACTCTTGTGTGAAGGTCAAAAAAGGCTGCCGCGATGGCAAAGGTGTGACAAGGAAAACATATAATATTTTATCTAATCCGCAGTTGCGTTACTAAAAACCGTGTAAATAACACTCCCTTAGCTACACCTAAACTACGAGAATGTGTATGATTAGTTTAAAAAACAAAGAGACTGATAGTGTCAGTTTATCTCCTAGAAATGTGTTCTAAATTACTCGTATTTCTGTATTTTAAAAGGAACTGAGATAGGGGGAAAACTTTCAAGATCGTGAGATTTTTAAGGTTCCGTACCTAAAATGGAACTGGATAAATGCACCTTTATAGAAACCTTCAACGAAACTGTACCTTTACAGGATCAGTTTGTTGTCCGTCTGTCTGTGTGTTAAGACCCATACCGCCTTATTACAAAATGTTGACTGAGATTAACCTGGCCTAAAACTGATGCTGTCACTTTTGTCTGCTAAAAAGATAATAGTACCACCGTTATATCAGTCGATAACTGTGGTTATCTTTAAATTATTAGCTTAATTAAATTAAGGATTTTACAACCGAAAGAAAAATAAAAGTTCAATAGTTTACTAGGATAATTAGATAAAAAGATAATGAAATAACGTGTAGGTACTTCAATGGCGTAAGAGCGTCATTTAAAAAAAGGTAAATTAAAAAAATTAAAAAACCCAACTGATTAAATTGTGCTTCAAATAAAAACTGAAAATAAAAAACAAGTCCTGTAGTGTATAATTCTGTTAAGCAAGGAACAAAGCTACTTTAACAGCCGGGACCCATTTGATACTCAAGAATGATTTTTTTTAATAATGGGTCCCGACTTTTAGAGCTGCATTAAAAGTCGGGACCCATTATTAAAAAAAAGTATCATAACTAGTACCATAAGACGGTATATACCACAGTTTTGTCACTTGAGTAAGGGAGTTAGTATCGCGGGGATTATTAAGTACATTGCGGTGATTTCTTAAGACATATAGAGACCTTACCACCACATATGGGCCTCAATTTTCGCAAAATGTGCGAAGTTAAATCAAATTGACACCTATATATCTAATTCATGTAAATAATATATTTAACTAGTACCTATTTTCCGTACTTATTAAAAAAGTCATCTTTTGCTTATGTTTTAGTAGTAGTTTAGGAATAAATATAACATTAATTTAGTTATATTTGTCGACTATCTAAAATTGGTAGCGGCTGCATTGTCAACGTCCGGCTCTAAGATTGTGATATACACAAATGCAGTGTCATATCCTTGTCTCATATTTTTTTTAACTACATAATTCCCAGAAACCAAATATGTAGATGCCAGAGGTTAACATCAAATGTTGTTAATCATCCTATATATAATACTAATCAATGACGTTAATGTCGCAGGTTATCGAAAGCGTAATTCCCGTCTTTTATCTTGGAAACTGGTGGCAACAACCTTAGATCGTTAAATTAAATAATTATACAATCACCAAAGCAAAGTATAATATAATATTTGATTATACTAAAGGCATAGAATAACATTTCCATAGCATTAGCAGCAACAGCACCATAGCAATATCATTTATTATCAATTTAACACCCAATATATAGATACATATCTCTGTCGTTCTCTATTACAGCGTTCACCAGCTACAGGTCACAGGCTTTCTGGTCTACCCTTTTTTATTGGTAGTGTAAAGCTGGAATTAAGAGTACTACCACCTATCAATCGGGCTGCTACCAGTCTAGTGCAAATAACTCTGAATTCCGGGGTTCCGTACCTCAAAAGGAAAAAATGGAACCCTTATAGGATCACTATGTTGTCCGTCCGTCCGTCTGTCAAGACCGTTTTTCTCAGGAACGCGTGGAGGTATCAAACTGAAATTCATATCTAATATTGAGGTCTACTGTCCCTTGGAGCTGTGAAAAAATCAAACTTCTAAGCCAAAGTACTCAAAAGATACAGCCGTTTATGCCGCAAATTCCCGCAAATTTTTGAATCAAAACCTACAGGGTACTTCCCGTTTTTTCCCAGGGAACTTAGAATCTCGAAATTTGGTACGAAGTAACGTCTTATAGTACAGATAAAGAAAAAATTGCGAAAACCGTAATTTTTAGTTACATCATATAGTAAAAAATATTTGAAAATACCATAACTATGACTCGATTGTCGTGATGGGTGAACTTTTTTTTATATACCTACAGGTTTGTACGGAACCCTCGGTGCGCGAGTCCGACTCGCAATTGGCCGGTTTTTTATGCAACTTCATGGGCGCACAAACATCAAAATGCACAGCGCGGTACCGAGAGAACTTTATTGTCTCCTTTCATCTTGCAGTAATGACCAACACTACTTTCTCTGTCATGCGCTATGCGAATAAAATAATCTCAAACCTTACGAGTGAAATGTTACACTATTAACTTTATTTGTATTTCTAGTATTGTTAGTGCATTTTCGGAAAGCACACGACGGCATTTTGAGACACTTTTCTAGCAAAAAATCACTGCAGTATTTTTATCGCCAACGTCTAACTACCAATGTGTAGATGAACACTGATTTGAGAAGAATGAGCTAACTCTTCCGAGTGTAGACAGATTTCGGTGCGGTCGAACTATGGAAAGGGCGTAGGTATGTAACCATTTAAATCTTTGAAAAATACAGGAATCAATTTGGCTGATACACTTTTCGATTGATATGCTGGGATTTGTAAAAAAATATTCATCATCATTTAATTAAAGATATTATTATTTAATATTTGACTTACCTAAATTATTATACGTTGTTGTATTTATTTGAATATATTTCTGGAAGAGAGCCACCGAAGGATTACTTTCGTAGGTAAAAGTATCGGCGTTACTAAATATAATTACATTTAAGTAAAAGCAAATGGCCACTGGCCAAATTTTAACGCGAAACATTTTCAAAGATGTGGCACGAAAATGTTCGCTGTTGGTGACACCTCAGATGTCGGTTCAGTATTAACTTAGAACAAAATTTTCAACGCCTTTAATATTGATATGTCAGCATAGCAATCAATTTGAGATAAGTGCATAAATAAAGATAAGTAAACATAAATGAATGTACCTACAGTTGATCTGCGGCATAAAAATATTGGTATTTATACTATGATGTTTTGTATTATACGTCATTGTATTTATGGGTATTTAAATATATCTCACACTTCTAACAATAAGACAAAGACAATAACTTTAGATAGGCGATTTTTTAGTGCCGTATAGTACCTAATAAAACAATTTACTTATTGTACCTAGATATAATTTCACATTAACATTTATTACTCGTCATAATCATGGTCAACTTCGGGTGAGATTCATGCACCGAAGGTTCCTTATAACTGTTTTAATTTGGTCGGGTTTCGTGGTCACGGGTATAGCCGTTAACTTTTTACTTCCACTTTACCAATATAGAAACTGCCAAGCGTACGCAGGAACTAAGCAAAACTGGAATAACCGACCTTGTAGGTATGTCTATAGGGAGTTCATCACGTGAATTGAGTCTCAAAATTTTTTGCCAGTTTTGAATTTTTATTTATAAAAACGTATTTAACGTGTGATAAAACGCAACTTATTGACTTTTTAATTTTTCTTCTAGCAAATATTAATGTCATTTACGAGCTTTTAGAAATTTGAACAAACTTGTATTGAGAACCAATCCCAAAACTTCTCGTTTCCATAAAGTACCTGAGAATATTAAGCAACTACCCTTCAACATGTTCAGGGTAGTATTAAAAAATGGCTATTGGATAAATGCTGTTATTCTCTAGAGGAATTTTTAAAAAATAAGTTCTGAATATTGAAGTGGATGTCGATTTTGAATTAATTTTGTTTAGAATATATATCATATATAATATATGGACATGAATATTACTTTTGAATTGACATGAGGAATCGTTATTAATATTGACATTGAATTGAATAATTGAAAGTCAAACGAACTTACCTGTACTGTAAGTGACGTTCGACTGATATTATACGATGCGATGATAAGAAGCATACAAAAACGCTGTCGGCCATTTTAGTCTATAGATTATCTATGCTATGACGTGAACTGTGTGTGTAAACAAAAACTCGTAAACACGTAGAAAATTACTTTTAACTGAGTTTATAATAAAAAAAATCATGATTTCTAATAAATACCACGAAAAATAAAGTAATTATCATTACTGTATTGTACGAGAATATAAAAACACATCCTTGAAGACTCCAGGAAAGTTGTGGATTAAAGTGCCGAAAGAAATTAACCTACGCAACTTTATTACACTTATTCATATGTTGTATCAGTTTTATGTTTATTACTACATTGGTGTCGATTCTGACGTGATTCTCTAAACCTAAACTTAAATTTGACAACAGTATATCCTTGTTATTCTCTATACAGAATGAAAAGGAGAGACTGATGTTAAATTTAGGTTTAAGTTTAAAGAATCATGCCAGAATCGACACCATTGTAATACTAAATGCACTGTACTTACATAGATGCCTTGTCGTTTCTCTGCTCCGCAGAGCAGAAATCGGGGTTTAGTGCAACAAATTCACCAACCATCAATGCGTCAATTCTTGGCAGATTTGTGCTTTCTGCTTTCACAAAGCCGGCATCCATAATTAGTTTTGTCAAAAAAACTAAGTTTACTGTTTTTTTCTTTCCTAAAGTTAAAAGTGTTTTAAGATAAATTTAGTCAGACGAAAGAATCCACCTACAGTAACACGCGAATGACATTTAGTTGTTTACCACAAGAGACGTCAAAATCATGGCGGATGTGGCGAACAGCGTTTTTAGTGTTTAAAAAATATAGACTAAGAAATATTTTTTAAAATTAAATTTCTACAGCAATCTTCTGCTTTTATGAAGTGAAATCGATATATTAAGGTTCCTTAGATTAAATACTTTAAGAAATAAACATTTATTTAAGTAATACAATTCGACATGAGTAAACTAGCCTATTGCGCACAAATGTGGGCGAAAGAGTGAGAGCATATCAACGGCTGTATCCCCTTGAGCTTAACAGTAACAGTAGGGATTGTTCAATGGGGATTGATACACGATCAGTTGTCACGCCTAGTGGTCGTTCAGTGAGAGTGCCCCATAGGCTAGATTTATAGGTTTTTTTCGGTTTTGCATTGCTGTAAGTGTATGCTCTAGATGCCAGCACTGCAAGGTGGGGTGGATGTTGAGGTTGCGATTAGCAGTGGCTGGCCGGTTAGGTTTTTTTGAATAGAAATACCTTTTTTTCTGTTCGTTGTCATAGTGATATTTTTCTGTTACTTCATTTCAAGGTTTAATTTTGTGAATAAGTAAAATATTTAATTTCTGTGAATTTGTATTTCTATAGAATATATTTATTGTGTCCTATCTTCGCGGTTTTTATTTGAAGATAACACGATCATCGGGCTTCACTTGTACGACCACGAACCTTCACACCAATCATCCTGTTTTAAAAGATTGTATAAAATTGCTCTGGCAATGTGATTTAAAAGATTTCGATGTAGTTTTTGCCTAGATACCTAGTCATATAGGTATATCTGGCAATGGAATTGCTGATAAACTTGCCAATGATGCTGTGGATTGTTGAGATGTTTTTCCTTACAAAAACTTTATTAATGATCTTTTAGGTCTTCCTATTTCGGATCTATGTGAATCTTGGGGACAAATATGGTCTGTTTCTAGTAAAAATAAAGGAAAGCATTACTCACAAATTCAAACTTCCATTCCTATAAAGTCTTGGTTTTATAATTTTAGATTTGGCAAGATAAAGACTGCTATCATAACTTGAATAAGACTGGGTCATGTTTGCACACTCGTTCTCGTTGCGAACCTACCCACATTTAAAATAATAAATAAGTAACCACGATTAAGTGATAACGGAACATTCCGCCCACCAAAAATACGTTAAAGTATTTTTCGATATAAATTGAAACGATTTATACGAAAATTTAGAATTAAGATTTTATTACGAAAGGCATATGAACTAATTTCTAAACTAAAACTATTTATAATTATTTAGGTTTAATAACTACAGCGCATTAGTCAGATTGGTTAGGTAACGGACATAGCTTTACCAAAGGTCTCGTAAGACGAGAGCCATCGATAGTTTTAACGGTAGTTAAACGAACGATTCCATCAGGACTAGTATGTAACACCTCTACTCGGACCAAAGGCCAATGCAATGGTACCGTATTATCGGTTTTAAGAATAACTACGGATCCTACTTCTAACGGTTTTGCGTGCTTAGTCCACTTAGCTCGTACAGTGCGAGACTGGAGGTACTCATGCTTCCAACGCTTCCAAAAGTCTTGTTGAAAACGTTGAAGCAATTGCCACCTACCTAAGCGACTGATATTTAAAGCCGAGTAGTCTTCGTCAGGAATCACAGTTAACGGTTCCATCGTAAGAAAGTGACCGGGCGTTAGTACACTTAATTCATTACGATCAGAGCTGAGTGGATAAAGTGGTCTCGAATTTAGCAGGGATTCTATCTGAACAAAAAGTGTGGTTAATTCAAATTTAATTTGGATTTCCCACACTCCGCCGTAGTGGGGACTCGAAGGAGGATTGAAACGAAATTCGATCTTTTCCTTATGAGCCGCATTCTGCATGAAACGCTGGAGATGATTGCTTGCACCTACATAGTTGGTGCCGCAGTCGGAATGAATTATACTGACTCTGCCGCGACGACCAACGAAACGTCGAAGAGCTGCTATAAAACCACCAGATAAGAGATCTGAAACAGCCTCTAGATGAATAGCCTTGGTGGTGAGGCAAACGAAAAGACATAAATATGCGTTACCTAATTTAGCACCACGATGCTTTCCAAGTTTTATACGAAACGGACCGCAAGAATCAGTACCGACAACTGAGAAAGGTTTGACTTGATTAATGCGAATTGCAGGCAAATTGCTCATATACGGTCCAAGAGGCACAGGTTTTGTTTTATAGCATGACACACATTTGCACAAGCAATGACGTATAGCTCTTTTGGCAGATATAATCCAAAATTGTTGGTTTAAAAGATACTGCATTGTATTAACACCGGCGTGACAGTTTTCACGATGAAACGCTTCGATAATGAGATATGTGAATCTAGAATCACGCGGAATCAAAGCGGGATGCTTATGTTCAAACTCGAGACCAGATCTGGCTAAGCGACCGCCCACCCTGAGAACTCCAGAGGGGTCTAGAAACGGATTAAGTTTACGCATTTGTTTTGAAGGAATGTGTCCTTCTTTCAACTGTCGAATTTCAGTAACGAAGGCAAAAGATTGAACATGTTTGACAATCATCATTAAAGCACTATGAAACTCTGTACGAGTAAGGAAAAGATCAGAGCAACACGAACGCTGATTACGAAGGAAAGAGGCGTATCTTAACCACCAACATAGAATGCGTTGTATTTTTCGAATACATGAATAACGGCGAAGAAGAGTATCGAATATCGATATTTGGTCAGACTGGCCATTATCATGGATAAACAGAGCGCGTGGAGGCTTCCTCTCTTTGAGCATATCTTCTTCCTCGGAAAGATTAACGTGCTGAGGCCAGCGATCGGAAGATTTTAAAAGCCAGGATGGCCCCGCCCACCATAGAATATTGTTTACAAGATCGGATGGAAGCTGTCCGCAAGAAGCGACATCGGCGGGATTATCCTCAGAAGAAACATGGTTCCATTTAGCGATGGGAAGGACTTCCTGTATGTAAGCGACTCGATTGGAGACAAATGTCTGCCACTGAGAAAGATGTGAACGAAGCCAGGCAGGAACAACCATCGAGTCAGACCACGCAGACACGATCTGCCGATACATTTGTCGCATGTCGGCCACAAAAACAACAAAGTGAACCCTAAAGTTTAAAAGTATCTCAACAATATTGGTTTGTAGTTTAGGCCCTATGAGTAATGTATCGTTAAGCGAAATACCTCTAGAATCCCTGGCAGAAGCGTTGAACACAACACGAA